ATTCATTCTAGGCGGAGATTTTCAGTTTTCAGCGGAGCAACTGGTCGAGTCTGGTTGGCTTGGTGATCTTCAGGCCGAGGTGGTATCCGACGTCTCGAATTGGACCTGTCAGTTGGGTACGTCTCGGTCGTCCATCGATTACTTTGTCCTCTCCTCCTCGCTCAAGCAGTTTGTGATGAGCTGCTCAGTTGCGACATGGTCCACGTGTACCAGACCGCACCGCCCTGTGGTGCTGAGCATGTCTGGCCACCCGCGACAGGTGACAGTTCCCAGGCTCAAGAAGCCTTCGGCGTTCCCTCTCCACCGTCCTGTGGGATGCGACCCTCGCCCTCTGGAGCGGGATGACTTGCTTGATCAGCTTGCCCAGGGGGACTGTACCAAGGACCGGTTGGATGCTGTAACTTCTCAGTGGGTTCAACGGGCTGAGGTGGCGCTGTCTCGCGTACTTCATGTCGATGGGGATCCACGATACCGAGGACGAGGAGGCCCCCCCAAGGTGGTGCAAGTCCCCCTGCTCGGCCCCCCTGCCTCCACTCATCCCAGGGCCATTGGGGAGGGCCGTATGTGGCGTGTCTTGGAGAGGCGACTCCAGGACATCATGTATCTCTGGCATGGACCTGCGCCCACCTTGGGGGGGATAAAACAAGCTGGGATTCTCTTGCGGAAGCTCGTGCACTACCAGTCCCCCTACACCGATTGCAAGTATTGGGCTTCTTGGCGAGTTCGGGTTCTGGCCGTCAACCCCTCCAACATCTCGGAGCTCCAGGAGTTGATTTGGCAGGTCCGCAAGTGGGCCCTTCAGCACGAGCATCATGCGGCCTCTGAGCGGGCCCGAGCTTGGCGTGAATGGGTTCAAGAAGCGTTATCTGGAAGTGCTCGTCTGGGCCACAGGTTCACCAAAGAGGTTCCGAAGTGGGCTGCATCTGGGCTATCTCGGTTCTCGGGGCCGTCTGGTGTGCCTCTAGGGATTGCTGCTGAAGCCGATCTTCGGGCTCAAAAGTGGCATCAACATTGGGGTGTCGGCCAAGTTTTCCCTGAGCCTGATTTCAGTTGGTGCGATGACGAGCCAGAGCTGGAGGCCCCCACCCATGAGGAGCTCTTAGCCCTCACCAGGACCTACAGCACGCACACGGCCATTGGGGTGTGTGGTCTGCACCCCCGTCACTGGTCTTTCCTCGACGACGGCGCTGTCGCAGTCTTCCTTCGGATCTGGGTCGAGATGCAGCGCCTGTTCCACATTCCGAGGTGCTGGGCTCTGCTGCTTATTGCCCTCCTACCCAAGCCGCCGCCTGAAGGGGGAGATCGTCCTATTGGGATCTTCGCGACGCCTCTTCGGTTGTGGTCTCGTTGGGCCCGATGGAAAGTTGCTGGCCCCTGGGAAAAGGATAACCCTCGGACGTTCTGGTATGGTGACTCAGGGGCCTCGTGTGACATTTGTGTTTGGAAGCAAAGTTTCAAGGCGGAGTTGGCCAGGGACCAGGGCAAAGCGGCAGGGACAACCCTGCTCGACCTGGTCAAAGCTTATGAGCATGTGCCCCACCATGTGTTGGCTGCTGCTGCCCGTCGACACAGGTTCCGAGGTAAGACCCTGCGCTTCCTGCTCGCATCGTATTGCCTCGACAGGATGGTGCTGTTTGAGATGATCGCCACGCAGACGGTGGTGACACACCGCACGATTGTCGCGGGCTGCAGCTGCGCGACCTCCCTGCTACGGTTGGTGCTCTTGTCGCCAGTGGATGCCGTCTCTCTACGTTTCGTGAATGTCGAGGTGGCGGTCGCGGTGGATGATCTGCAGTTGCAACGTATTGGCGAGGCGTGGGAAGTTGCCAGGGAACTCAAAGGGGCGGAGGACCTCCTGGCAGCTGAGCTTACGCAGATCGGCCTGACCCTCTCCCTGCCCAAGAAGCACCAGGTTGTCATTGGCAAAGGCATTCGGAAGGTGTTTCGGAAGGTCAACCCATCTTCGTCGAGATTCCTCACTCGTTCGGTTCGGAACCTGGGGCTGGACTTTGGAGGTGGGAATCGGCTATCTCATTCGGTTCGTGCACAGCGGCTGAGCAGGATGGCGTCTCGGATCCCTCGGTATAAGCGTCTCGCTAGAGCTGGGGGCAAGACGGTCAAGCTGGTGCAGACTGGCCTCAAGCCTGGTATGCTCTGGGCAGTGGGAGTTCACGGCATCAGCAACACGCACCTGCTCAGGGCGAGGCAGCTGGCGCGCGCGGGCATGATCTACAGGCACACGGGCAGGTCGCTCTCCCTAGACCTCATGCTTGCTGGGCCGCAGGTCGACCCCGCCTTCGAGTGCAACAGGAGCCCGATCTTCCTCTGGTTGCAGGCGCTCTGGGACGGATGGGCCCCTAGAGCTGATATGGCGCGGCTTCTGAGTGGAGCATGGGCTCGCCTTTCCAGAGTTCCTTTGTCTCAAGTGTGGTCTGATATTCGCGGACCTGCCTCTGCGCTAGTTGCGACTCTCTTGCGTCTAGGCTGGTCTGTGTCTGACCCATTTCTTTGGAAGACACACCGAGGCCCTCTAGCTATTGAACAGATTTCTCCGAAAGACGGGGGTCGGTTAGCTGATGAGGCCACCGAGCGGTGGGCGTGGCGCCAAGTTCTCGCGAAGCATCCTTCGTGGGTCTCGCCTTGCCCTCATCCTCCTCTCGTGGAGCCCCTGAGGTCCCTCCTCCAGCCCCACTCGGTCCGTGGCCCTGACTGGACCCCAAGACATCAGGGACTGCTGCGGTGCCTGTTTGCGGGAGGTTTTTGGTCACAGGAGCGACTGTACGAGTCAGGTGGAGCCGTCAACCCGAGCTGCCTTGCTTGTCAGAGCACTGGCTCGACGTGGCACCGGTTTTACGACTGCCCTCTGCATGCTGAGTTTCGTCGGGACTACAGAGCTGGCAGTGCCGTGGCTGGTCAAATGCTGGACATGGCACGTTCTGCCGCGGTGGATACATTGATTTTCACGCGCTTTCTGGTCCCTGACCCCTCTTGGCTCTTCCCGAGCCCCTGCCTCGAGGAGCGAGTCGTGTGGACGGTGCGGTCTCCCGACTTGCTGTTTGATGTGCACGTGTTCGGAGATGGGTCGGGAAGGCACGGCCGCTTTCCTCGCTTACGTCGCTGCGGATGGGGACTCTGCTCGCTTGACGACAGCAAGCGCGTGGTCGCTCGCCTACATGGCCCTTTGCCCTTTCTCATCCAATCTGTGCCAGCGGCTGAGTTGTTCAGTTTCTTGATGGCACTGCGGTATATGGGGGCTCAGATGAAGTTTTATACAGATTGCAAGCCGCTCGTGGATGTATGGCGCCAAGGTATTGGAGCTGGCACCGCTGCGAGTGACCCGCTTGCCGTTCTATGGAGGGAGGTTTGGAGGCTTGTGTCGGACCGTGGGGGTGAGTCGGTGGAGGTTTCTCACGTCAAAGCACATACTCCTGCATCTGCCGTCGCAGATGGACGGATTTCAGACTGGCAGCGGTTCGGCAATGCCCAAGCTGATCAGTCGGCTAAATGGGGTGCAGCCGTCCATGGCGATTCTCTCCAGCTGCGTTCGGCACATGGCGCGTCGCGCAGCGCCATTCGCCTCGTAGCTCAATTCTGTACTAGGCTGGTCGCTCGGATCGGCACTGTCACGCCTATCGACGCTCAAGCGCAAATACTTGGTCGTGCCATAGGCACGATCGAGGGGGGACTTGGTCCCCCGAAGCCGCACTCACGTTTCGACCCTGCGGTGACAATGATCGCACGCAGGTTCCGCTGCATGGTGTGCCTTCGATCTGCGAGGACACGCTCGGTGCTTCGCCAGCTTCGGTGCGAGGACAGGACCAGCTCCCACGCCCTTCACCGCGCGGGGCCTTTCCTTTTCTGCTCCCTGTGCGGGGCTTTCTCGGAGAAGAAGAGCCAGGGTCTTTCGCAGGAATGCTTGCCGATGCATCGCAGGCAGGGTGTCCTCTTGAAAGACTCGAGGTACTACAGGCTTCGCAACCTCTTGCGAGGTTGCCATCCGCTTCGGTCCCGCTTATTTGTGGGCCCTCCGATTTTGCTGCGGAAGCGACGGCTGCTGGAGCTGGCCGAACTGCCGCCTCTGCCTGCTCTCTCTCCTTCTGTCGGGACTGGGAGTGGGGGGGTGGGGGTGGGGTGGACGGGGCAGGTGTGCTCTCCGCCGCCCGCTTTCCAGGCCGACCTGGCCTTGTGGGACGGCCTCGCTGGCTTCCCTATTGCCAGCGCAGAGGAAGACGACGACGACCCATCCCGCGGTGCGGGGGATCGGGTCGAGGGCGTCCCCTGCGCTGGCTAGAGGTTTTTCAAAACAAGGCTGGTTCGCTTGCGGTCAGTCTCTATCAGTTAAAAACCTCCAACACGTGATACGTGGGCAGACTCACGTGGCAACCACCTCTCGGTGCCCCTGGCGGCTGACAACCATCGCAAGCCGTTCGTGCTGTTGTTCTCGGGCCGACGTCGGAGTCGAACTGGCCGATGTAATCTCTCGGAGGTCTGGCGCGGATCTCTTGGGTCGGCGCTGGACCCCCCTCCCCGGGGGGGCCCAGCGCCGACCCAAGAAGAAGTCCGCGCGGACCTCCGAAAAAATACAATATTTTGCTCCTCTATCAGTCCACGCCCGACGGTGGAGCAACGCTCGTGGACATGCCGCGGGGGCTCCCTGGCCACTGTTGATGCTGAGCTACTCTGGCAATACCTCGTTGTCCTGGGGCGTTGCTGTGTTCAGTACTGCTCGCTGGAGAATTCGACGCGTGTGCAGAACCAAACTGTCAATGCCACGCTCTCCTGTGGCTCGTCTGCGTTCCTGCTCTGAGCGCACAACGCTGGAGGCGGCGGAGAGCTTGAGAGGTCCATCCAACAAATGAAATCGACATCGAATCGAAGCCGGATCGGATCGAACTCGGCCACCCCCCGACGGGGCGGGCGCCCGGGCGGGCGGCCACTCGCCAGCGGCGCGCCGGCGGCGCGGCATGGTGTCGCGCCCAGGGAGGGGGGTTGCTGCCCGCCTGCCGGCGCCGCAAACGAAGATCGCCGCCGTGCACACCCGCGTGTGGGCCAGCCTGGCGTGCACCTGTGCGGCGGAGGGGGGGGAGATGAGGAAGGGGAGGGCGACGGAGAGGAGGAGAACGAGGAGGAGTGGGAGGAGGCGGAGGAGGAGGACGACGAGGACGAAAAAGACGAGGATTTTGGCATGCACCGCTGCCGCCTGCCCGCTCTCGTGAGCTACTGGCTGCCGAGTCTGGCCGAGGTGCGCCGCGAGCTCGGTCTGCCGAGCTTCGGGGCTTTCGCTGCGGCCTGCACCCAGACCCGGACGACCGCGACAGACGCGGGGTGTTTGGCAGGCGCAGACGCCACTGCCTGGTTGCGCGCAGCAACGGGGCGCGAGGAGAAAGCGCAGCGGTGCCTTGCGAGGCCGGCGCAGGCCGGCGGCGGCACCGGTGGCCTGCCTCCGAAAAGCGTGCCGGCGGCGGCGGCGCCGCCGCCGCCCCGCGCTGGCCTAGCGGCGGCGCGCAGCCGCGGGTACCAGGCGCGCAGGCAGGTACGGCAGCGCCCGCGCTGGCCCAGCGGCGGCGGCGCCCCGCGCTGGCCCGGCGGCGGCGACGGCAGCGGCGGTGGCCGCAGCGCAGCGGTGGGGGCGGCGGCGGCGGCGCTGGCGCTGGCCCGGCGGCGGCGCACAGCCGCGAGGGCCGGGCGCGTGGGTGGGCACGGCCGCGGGAGCGTGCTGTCCGCTCGCCCCGGGGGCCCCCACGGACGCGGGACCCCTGGGACCAGGAGGAGGAAGAGGGGGGGAGGACCAGCGGAAATCCAAGGCCCAGCAACGATGTTGCAATAAACCCTCCTCCAAATTCTTCGTTTCGCTGGCCAATACAAAGGAATTACCGTGGAGACCCATCCCAAGAAACACCCTGCTTGCCTCCAGGGTGCCCTGGGTTTCCTGGATGTCGATGGTTTTTGCTGTGAGCCCGTGACGTTCCCACACCACAAATCGATGGACGTCCTAGGGTCTCAGGATTGGGTTTATTGTCGAAAGTTTCTTGTGGACTGGCCTCCACTGTACGTTCAAGGCGGGAAGTGCCCTGTTGGAAAACAAACGTCAGAAAATGTTCAACCACGCCAAAGCATGGGTCCTCCGACATCAGCGCCGCGAACGCACGTCAGTGTTGCGTCCCGACGGTCCTTAATCGTGTCATCACACCGTTCCTAGAAATTCAACACTGCAAGCCAACGCGGCCGTCGGGCCCTGACAGTCATGAGTCATGCCAGAACACAATCTCTGGGACGGCGACAGAAAGAATCCTTGAAACTGCAATAATATGCACATACGAGTGCACTCGGCACTCAAGCCAAAGCCGCATTTTGAAAACGAGCCGCCCTCCATCCGCTGACACTCTTGCAAATTTTCAAAACCAAAAAAATGATCACGGGCAGCGCTAAGGCACGAGCCACACTTTGAAAACGAATCCCCCTCAATCCGCGAAACTATCGCAAGTGCTTTTTTGTAGAAGAACAACAACAACAACAACAACAACAACAACAACAACAATTACTAGCACGTGGGGACACTCCGTTCTCACCAGTGCCAGGGTTTTCATAGGAGGCGGGCAATACCCCCACTTTGTGGGGGGGCCGGTTCAAGCTCTACCAAATTTCCAAACGACTCTTCGCCACCACCCACACCCAGCTTCCCGCCCTATGACGTTCGGACACTTCACTTCGTGGCATGCGGACGACCGTGGCTACTATTCAGGGCCCCGCGGCCGACGACGACGGCGTGCGCGCGCGAAGAAAAAACGAATGTGTCCCGCATGGTATTATTTGACAGGGATGATGGCCCTGGCAGGTGCGCAACCGTTGTTGCAGAAGTTCGAAAAAGTTGCTCGCAAAAGCCCGTTTGACAGAAATGTTTAAAAAGTGTTGGGTTTCCTACGAATCCGCAAGAGCGCGCGGGATGAAATTTTGACATTTTTTTGTTGAAAAACCATTGGTTTTTTGATGTTTTTATGTTAAAATCGCTACGAAAACTAAGGTTTTGGAAGGATTTCGTCTTGCGCGCGCGAATGTCCACTTTACCTTATTTTTTGCAAGGGATTCTTGAAGTTTGGTTATGTTAGAACAAGAAATGTCCACTTTAGCTTATTTTTTGCAAGGGAAAACCGCCCGTAACAAAACAACCGGATCTGGATCACATCGTTTTACCTGAGACTTCCTCACGAAAATGATGAAAATGTGGCTGCGGCCTAGGCGCGGCGGGGGGGCCGTGCACCAGGGGCCCCAACAATAATTATTCTTTAGAAGAAATAATGTTCAACAACAACAACAACAACAACAGCAACAACAACACCAACAACAACAAAAACAACAACAAAAACAACAACAACTACAACAACTACAACAACAACAACAACAGCCACGACAACAACAACAACAACAACAACAACAACAACAACAACGACAACAACTACAACTACTACTACTACAGCAACAACAACAACGACAACAACAACAACAACGACGACGACGACGACAACGACGACGACAACGACAATAGCAGCAACAACGACAACATCAACAACAACAACAACAACAACAACAACAACAACAACAATAGCAACGATCAGTTTACGTTATTGCGCCACGTTTCCACACGTCACGTGCATATGTCTGGATACAACACCACATCATGGGGGATGTCTCTGGCACGCGGGGTCCGATATTCCCTCGCCCATATCCCCCGCCCAAGAAAGCATCGCCACTGCCTCTTCTGGGGAACTTCGACATCCACAGCTCGGACGGCACATCGCCATCGCAATCGCCTTGCGCACGCTGCGCACGCCCCGCACGCCCCGCATCTCGGAGGAGGGGGAAAACGACGAGAAGAGGAGGAAAGATGAGGGAGAGGAAGAGGGAGAGGAGGAGAAGGAGGATGCAGGAGGAGAGGGAGGAAGGAGGAGTAGTTGTAGTAGCAGCACCTCCGAGGACGAGGTGGTTCTTACTCCTCGTTCGAACTGTTAGGTCACCATCCTGCGGCCTCGGCGCGTGACCCTGAACGTTCATGCCCCCAGGCGCTGCCGCTCCACACCCTCCCAAGGAATCCCTGAAGTCAATCCTTCGACCCTCGATCCTTGGAGCCCCTGGAAGTCATCCGTTATCATTATTTTCCTCCTCCTCCCCACCACCTACGCTCTCCAAAAGTGATACTTATTAAAAAATTCAAGTTCAACAGGGACTCTTGGAAGCCCCCAGGCGATGCGGAAACGAGGGGCCCAGTCTTGAGCAAAAGGTGAGGACGTACCAAATGCGAGCGACAAAGGAGGACGCAAGGGGAAGGGAGGAGGGGGGGGAGGAGGGAGGCAGGAGGGAGGAGACAAGTGGGACGAAAAGACAAACGAGGAGGGAGGAGGAGGGAGGGGGAGGGAGGAGGAGGGAGGAAGAGGAGGAGGGAGAGGGAAAAGACGGGAGAGGGAGGAGGGAGAAGAGGAGGGGGTGGAGGGAGGAAGAGGAAGGAAAAGAGAGAGGGGGAAGGAGGGGAGGAGGAGGAGGAGGAGGAAAAGGAGGAAGAGGAGGAGGAGGAATATGAAAAGGAGGAGAAGGAGGACGAGGAGGGAGGACGAGGAGGAGGAGGAGGAGGAAGAGGAGGAGAGGGAGGAGAAGGGGGAGGGAGGAGGAGGGAGGACAGAGGGATGGAGGAGGGAGGAGGGAGGAGGGAGGAGAGGAGGGGTGGAGATAGGAAGACGGCGGGAGAGGAGGGAGGGGGGAGGAGGGAGGAGGAGGAGGAGGAGGAGGAGGAGGAGGAGGAGCAGCAGGAGGAGGAGGAGGAGGAGGAGGGAGAGGAGGAGGAGGACGACGAGGAGGAGGCGGAGGAGGAGAAGGACGAGAAGGAGGAGGGGGAGGAGGAGAAAAGGACGCCAGTCCGGCGCAAAACGGGAGGAAGTCTCGGGCGGGAGCGCTGGTTTTGTCGGGACAAGGGCTGTCGGCGGCGAGCAAGAGTACTGCCCTGAGTAAAAAAGGGAGAATGAATGTCTCGAGCGGAGCGTTGTGGCTGCTGGGGAGCGGCGCCGATGAGAGAAAGAGTAGCGCGCCTGTCCAAGGTAAAACGGGAGGAAATCTCGAGCGGGAGCGCTGGTTTTGTTGAGTCGGCGGCGAGCAAGAGCACTGGCCCTGAGTACAAAGGAGGAAGTCTCGAACGGGAGCGTTGCTGTTGGGGGCCAGGTTTGGCGGCCCCCCAAACCGCTCGAGAGTGAGCCGCGTGTTCACTGAAAATGCAGCCGGCGCCTCGGCGAGAGCGCCAGGGCGCCTTCAAGGGGTTCAAGAATCATAATTGTTGTGTGATCAACATCTACCAAATGCAACAACAATAATAACAACAACAACAACAACAACAACAACAACAACAACAACAACAACAACAACAACCACCATCACCACCACAACCACAACAACAACAACAACAACAACAAAAACCTAATACAACAACAACGACACCAACAGCAACAACAACAACAACAACAACAACAACAACAACAATACCACCACCACCACCACCACCACCGACGACAACAACAACAACAACAACAACAACAACAACAACAACAATCATTTTACCCGAACGCTCAGTGTTCTCACCAGTGCCAGGGTTTTCATGCGACGCGAGACAATACCCCCACTTCGTGGGGGGGCAGTTCAAGCTCTACCAAATATCCAAACGACTCTTCGCGACCACCCAAACCCAGCTTCCCGCCCTATGACGTTGGGACACTTCACTTCGTGGCGTGCGGACGACCGTGGCTACTACACTGGCGTGGGGTACACACCCACAGAACTTGGTCACTTATTCGGGGCGCGCGTGTGCCCAGCATCCTGCAATTGTGACATACAATACATGACACAGACAGACAGAGAGAGAGACAGAGAGCAGACAGAGAGAGAGACAGAGAGAGCGGAGTTGGTCACATTTTTGGGGCAAGTTCCTGAGATCGTCGTGTTTTTTGTTGGTCGTGCGCGCGCGAATGTCCACTTTACTTTTTTTTTGCAAGGGAGTATTGAAATTTGATTATGTTAGAACAAGAAAAA